AAAAACAACATTTGGTTTACCCCTCCCCCTTTTTTTAAAAATTATTCTTGCTGCTTTTCTATCTTTCTCTCCTCTACTTTTACCACTCTTCTTTCATAAGCATTTGGTTGCTCGCTCATCTCACTCTTCTTTCAGGCTTAACCTTTCGGTGGTGCACTCCCTCTCCCTCCAATTCACCTGTCTGTGTATCTTGCACCGTTTCCCCTGAGGTCCTCCCATGACTTTTCGTTTGCGCATGCATCGACAATACGTGCACTCTGCTTCGAGTCCCCACTCTCCATAATCCTTTCTTCTGATGCTTCCGGCGCTTGCACGTTTCCTCCTTTCCCCCCGTTGGGCCTTTAAGCGCCGCCGCCATTGAATGTAACGCGTCTCGTTCGTGTCTTTGCTGGCGTAGAGCGAAGCAAGCGTGAGCAAAGAAACAAAAAAAAACGAGAGAGTGCCCGTCTGACTTATCTCTCCTTCCCTCTCTATGCCCGTGTACGCGTAGTTGGCGCGTGCTCGGCCATCCCTGTCCTGCATGAAGTTACACGAACAGAAATCAACGGCGACAGCAACAACGGCAGGAAATATCCGCAGAACACCACACAGAACGCCCAAACACAGAGCGGACCTTGAAGCTGTGCTAAGACAAACAACAACAACAACAAAGAATGCAAATAGAAACATAAATACGGTGCGGGCGAGTTTCACCGCCTGCTCTAAACCTCTACACTGTTGCTGCAAGGATAGAGCTCCAACGCGTTGTCTGCGTCTTCCCTTAAAAGCCGATGACGCAGAAAGAGCGCGTAGGCCTCCTCATCATGAATAAGTAATCCATCCTCTGTCTTCTCCGCAAGAACCGGGGGCAACTCACCCTTCGTAAGATTCACAACAACATTGTTGTTGAAAAGAATGGCTTTATCGACCCACTCAATGTATGTTTCAAAATTCTCTGAAAAGAGACGAAAAGAGCGCAGTTGCATTGGGATGGGCACTCCCCTTCCCGTTGAAAACAAACGAAGAATTCCGCGGGGAACGGCAACCTCCGCCTCCACTGTGATGGCAAGCATACGAATCTCATAGGGCATGGACAGCGGTTTCGGTCGCGGTCCAAGGGGCTTGAAGTATTCTTCAATGGCTCCATTGTCCTTATACCCAACCCCTTGCTGATATAAGGTTGTGTGCGCATGGCGGACCATTTCAATGACTTGTTGAATGAACGGACGCCACATCATGGTACTGTCGAAGACGATATTGCGACCTTGATTGATCGCCTTCACCAAAAGTTTTTCCGCTGCACGCGTACTGCTTTCATGCATGACATGTACACCTTTCGACCATGGACTCATGGCAACCTTGAAGTCATCCGCGTTCACCAAGACTATGTTATCTTTATTTTTCTCCCACCACGCACTGCGTGACAGCGCGGTTGCCGCAGTACTCTTGCCTGCTGCCATACCGCCACCCATAAAAATAAATACCGGGGACTCCCCATCCGCCGCCCTACAATAATCATTCGATTTGCATTGCAGTTGACGAAGCATCACCACAGCTGATACCATTTCACGATACCGTTGAAACTTTTCATCTTCACGAAGATCATTAATACGACTCACAAAACCCTCATCATCCTTGGTCCGCGGACGACTCAATCCCTTATTGTTAATCCATTCAGCTAGCGCAGGAACCGTTATAACAGCATTTGCAGGGTAAAAGCGGTGAAGCCCCCTTCCAATAATGCAAGATAGTTCCTCCTCACTAACATAAGATTCATGCATGGTAGAACAAGAAGGAGTGCATGAACGCGGAGACAGGCCATACAAAATTTCTGATAGTGAAGGGCCTGAATTAATTACTGCAGTCTTTCGAACCGCGCTGTTACCAATACCACTATCACATTGAGGGCAAATGGGTGCAGCCTCAACCGAAGTTAACTCTGGAGAGAATGTTCTTTCTTCGCACAATGAGCGGGCAAGCTCCTCCGGAGCCAAAGGGGGCATGTAAATGATGGTCGGAAACCATGAGATTTTAAACATGTTCGCAAGCTCCGGCTCAGCTACAACGTGAACAACAGAAACAGCAGGTAGGGGATCCAGCAACCGGCGTTGTAAAATAGTATGAAAAATATCCACAGCCGCGCAGCTCTTTGCGGAGAATCTCGCGTGAAATATTAGTACAAGACCATCAGGTGAATTTTTAATACGTGCCAAAAGGTTTCCAACTGACACAAAGCTGGATAAGGGCAACTCCATCGGACCGTTTTTTGCTTCGTCTTCTAGTTGTCTACATGGGCATGCAGTTATGGGGCTAAATATATGTTCAATACCACAAGATGGGGAATGGGGTGGAAACAAAGAGAAGGATTCTTCCCCATCCGACACATCTTCCTCAGGATCCGTCGCCATACACATGGGGAGTATGTTATGTCGAACATAAACTTCATATTCCTTGTTGATATTGATCACATCCTCCGTACGATGCCAATTCCAAGAAAAGTACATTGGGACAAGCGTATTAACAAGTCTTAGAAAGTGTTCCACACATCCGTCTGGGTCGCACAGTTTAGAAGCCGACGGGAGGTTGCTTGTACTATCCACAGAACCAATGAAAGTAAGAGGAAAGCTCAGTGAGGCTCGTACGCGTCGTCGTAAGCGAGCCACCAAAGTGGCTCGGTCCTTGGAAAAGCGGATTGCCCACTTGTGGCAAAGACTTCTCAGCAGTTCAGGATCTGAGCGCGTCAGAAAGAGCATGGTGCAACACACTGCAAGCCTTGTTACAAACATATCAGGCGGGTGTTCTAACGCCATAATGACGTATTCAGTGAATGGGAGCCACGGCGGTGGCGCGGTCATCTACAGCTTTTTTTTTGTTTGTCGTTATTTGTATTTTTCTAAAATTAAGAAAAAATAAATAATAAAAAGAAATAATAATAATCCCTGATAATTTCTGTTTGTCTTCTGCTTTTTATGCCTCCTCCCCCTCAGGCTTTGGAAAGAACACGACTGCTGTGATGCGGATGAGAGGAGGTGCGCCGCATACACAGAGAGGAATCAACCAACAGAGGAGGTCACAACAACACGTAAAATAACAATCATAGAGCTGATAAGACGTGAGAGAAAGTCACAAAAATGCAGGTACGTCTGCAGCCGCGGCCGCTGGACCCAGTAAAATATATGCGAAAGAAATAACATGTACCTCCGTAAAGGGCACGTAGTGCGCTCCAGCTGTGACTACCATATTGTGTACGTACATGCATGCAAAACACAATATAAAGTGTCAAACAGCTTCACATGGTGAACTGTAAAACATTATAATTAGGCACACACACACACACACACATACACACACACATACATATATGCAGGTAACTATGATAAAAACAAAGACCCCACACATACCACAACGAAGCGTTTTAATAAAAATAAATATATATTTATACTTATATTTATTTATATATATATATATTGAAAGCAGTCAAAACAAGGTAGAAAGACCAAAAAAAAAAAGCATCATACCCTTACAAAGTCGTGTTCTTATTACGCACAATTTGCACCAGTGCTGATACAAGTGAATGAACCTGCGCCGTCTGCTCTCCTAAACTGGGGTTATTGCATGTAAACGCATTGGCGATGTGGACAAAAACAGGAAATACACGACCCTTCCATTTTTTTTGCAGCTTCAGACTTTGGTACAGAGTGTAATTGCAGTAATACCGACCAGCATCACGGGATATAATCCAACGCGGCAATTGACGGCCTCCGTCTTCATGACCCTCGGTTAATATCTCCACATTAAGCTGCCTTATAAGCTCCGTAGCCGCCGTTGCCATGCCACCCCAGTCGCATCCAAAGACACTTTCCATATACATGTCCAAGGGGCGTAATTCCTCAATGGGAAACCCCTCGAGTTCGTTGTAGGCGCGTACCTCCATCCGCAGTTGACCTTCCTGCTCACGACTGTGAAGTCCGACATGGACGATTAGAACACATCCTTCAGGATCCTCTTCCATATAATTTCCGAGTGTGTCTTCAAGGCACTTAAAGTACGCAGACACCGCGTCGAAGGTAACCTCCAGTTCCTCATAATGCACTTGGAGTTCATTGTCTTTCATCATTTCATTTGAAACAGACTCTCCAACAATGGCGCTTGGGTTCACTGTGATCGCCTTGAAGGGACCGAACCCAGTAATATAGAGCTGTAACTTTGAATGCTTCATCCTGGCCCCTTTGGAAATTGTCAAGTAAAAGAAGAATTATATATATATATATATATTACATGGGTGATGGTAGCAAAAAAACAAACAAACTCCGTTATGCGGCTCGACAAGCAGAGATTACATTTACATCCGTGCAGAGTAGGTGGTAAAACAGATATACATGTGTGTACACATTACGTATACACTTATTTACAGTCGTATTTTTTATTTTGCTTTACGTGTGCAGCGTGCACCGCATTCATCTGGGAAGAGCAGCGGTGCCCGCCCCTGCGCTGCTGAAGGAAGAGTGAAAAGGGGAAAAAAAAAAACGGAAAACAAAACAAAACGTGGGCAATAATAATACACGATAGTCTCACACAACCTGGAAAAAAATAGACACGAAGGCACTAAAAGGAAAACAACCCAAAATATAGAACAAAATCACAAAACATATTTAAAATAGACATCACAACACACAAAAGAAAGAGTAAAAGGAGACGGTGCACATAATCTACAAGAACTGGCATCATGACACAATCACACACGGATGCACACAACGAAGAAGAGAAA